CGGAATGTGACGCCAAGGGGAGGAGTCCAGCCCCCCCCCTATATATGCGCGGCGCGGCGGGGGCGAATTGGTGCGAATAGCGGGAAATTTTGGTCGCACCGATTGGTGCGAATATCCACTTTGTTTTTTGAATATGAAAGTTAGAGGCCTTTTCTCGTCTCGATAGGCCACTTTCTCGCTAGCCCCCCCCCCTCCAATCTGTCCATAACAATAGTAGCACCTAGTTAGATTTCAAACACGATGGTTTTACATCTTTAATCGCGTCTGTGCTAAGGAGAGGGAAATGAACGGCATAGCCCAGCACCGCACAGCGTGTAGTACACACGTGACTTAAGTTGTCTAAACCACCGATTAAACCAAATTTTGCGTAAAACATTTTGAGGAAATGAAAATTCTTTAAATTTCACTAGGTGCAACTATTGTAATGGACCAATTTAAGTTACTTCGGCACTGCACAGCACAGCAGAGCACCGCACGGCATTCCCACTGGACAGCCCCCAGGCGCTGGGTAGGCCAACCCGCGAAGCTGCAGCGGGAAGACGGTGGCCCACCCAGAGCGCCCGAGTGGCTGGGCAAGAGGACGTTTTGAAGTCGAACGTGCCCTCGCATCGAGGGACGTTCCATTGTGGGGGCACCTTAAGACTTGTTGGTGACTAAACCAAAGAAACGCAGAGTTTTGTAATTTTATTGCCTCAAATTAATAAAGGGGAGGAGTTGTCAAGCCAAACAGGACCAGGATCAGCGGGCGTCGACTATGTCACGCTCCCGGCTCCAGCGACTCCTGCCTGCCTGGGCCCCGGTGCCGGCCCGGTCCACACCGGTCAAGTCCAAGGCCACCCCGACCCGACCCGGGAGGACCAAGCCCAAATAACTGACGCCGCGGACAGTCAACACGCCACTTATTATGCTGGACTGGAGCGTGGGGGGGGGGGGGGTAATGTGGGGCCGCTATCTAGCTTATTCTTTTACATTAATATTTTTGAAGACTAGAATTTCCTCCCCCTTCTCCCGTCCATCGCTCGTGCTCCATACCCGATAAACAAACAAAAGTCATGAGGACGTCGTATTGAGGTCAATATGGTAAAAAATGGTCAACATTTTGGCTAATACCGCGACATTTTTACGTCAAAACGACGCTAATCTGTCCGTGACGTTTTCGTGTTTACTGGGATAAATATATGAATCACGTCACAGAGACCTTCTTCCGCACCG